AAATACCTGTTAGGTTGGGTAAGAATTTAAGTCAGATCAGGTCAGTAATGACAGGTAAGACTGAGAGGTCTGGATTTAAGGCAGATTTCTAGAAACAAAAAGAATTTTCATGTGTAAAGCATGAGGACACTTGTAATATCTGGAAAATTTTTATTACTGTTCTCAGAAACACTTTTGTGGCTCTGAGAATGAATGGCACAGAATCTATGTGCTCTGGCTTCTGAAACACATGTCTTCTAGCATACTCCCTTGATTAGGTAAAGAATGCTGGCCTTTCAACTCTCTTGAGGATGTATCTAGATTTCACTGGACTCTTTCATAGCATTAGCCAGACTTCCGCACGAATCACCTGGAGAACAAGATCATTGGTCAGAGTGCCCAGCTGATTTGGGCCCCACACAAAATTACCTCACTCTTGACATCCAACTACCTAACATGTCTCCCAAGACAAAGGAAGATGTAAAACCCCAAGAGGAAGGGGCTCTTGTTTATTCAAATTCCTCATGTTAGGATTTCACTACATGGAATGGAACTCTGTATTCTACTGTTGTTGTGAAAATAGTGTCCACTGGACATACTCTCTCATGGGTACAGTTTACAAATACAAGAGGTAAAAACCAAACAAACAAAATCAAAGGAACTGGGACCACTGGAAGAAGTTCTTGCTGATCAATGGCAGAGATGTTTGAGCTCCTTCAATAATGACAACGAAGGCAGCATCCAGACTTCGCCATGACATTAAACCTACAGTTGATGACTTCCTGACAAGCTGCAAAGTGATGCCCTCAAGCTTTTGTCTGTCTTTCCTTAAAGAGTTGTGACACTGCCTAAACGAATAGTAGACCAAAGAAAGAGTAACTTTTGTCCATGTATCTGACCTAATAAATGTAAGAGATATAGTAGAATTTATATATATTAGCCATTTAGAACCCCAGTCTGTCTTCATATCTAGAATGACCCTTTTAGTGAAGGTCAGAAGTTCTGTGTCTGGTCAAAAAAGATGATGGCAAGGCGGGCATTGTCAGTAATTTCATTTCCCTCTGCAATGATACCTTTTTCTTTTGCAGAACTTCCAGTTCTATTTTCTGTGCTAGAGCCACCCTCACTTTTTTCAAGTTTTTTTTTCCATTTTCCTGTTGTTGTTTTTTCTCAGTGAACACTCGGGCACAATCCCACATGAATTTTCATCTTAGTTTCCTCATCCTCTCACTACAGGTTTTTCTTTTCTGATCCTAGTATGTATGGTTGTAAGGCTCACATCATTACTAATAATTACTGAAAATGCTGCTGAGCGTTCCACTATGCCTTAGAATATAACCTTATTTGGAAATGTAGACATTTTAGATAGGATTAGCTAATAGAGATAGATAATTAAGATTCTGCTACAGTAGAGAGTGGCAACCCAATAGAGATACTGCCCTTAGAAGAGTGACATTTTGTATATGTGTGACAAAAAGAGCAGAGACTGGAGCTATGTAGATGTAAACAGCACCAGAGACTTCCAGATACCCATAGCAGCTAGAAGGACTCCCCTAAAATGTAGAAGTATTAACCCTGTGGGCACACTGAATGAAGACTTGTGGTTTGTTGGCCTGTGAGTTAATAAATTTCTGGTTTTTATGTCACCCAGCTTGTGGTACTTTGTTATGGCATTCTTACAAAATGATGCACATATCTATGGACTGTATTATTCTAATTTTTTGTACATTAGTACTTATTGGTTTTTATAGGTCTTGTCACTGGATTTCTCCTTCCCAGAAGGAAATACCAAAGGAGCAGAAGTTCTCTGGGTCTCTTTCTGTTTTTCTTGAAAAGAAGATGCTAAGATTTTGATTAATGATTTTAGAAAAGTATTATGAGTGATAAGCACTTTGTGGAGCCCTACTTTATGAGTTAAACAGTCTTTTCTCAGTCATAACTCCGTTGTTCAAGAGCTGATTACATAACTACTTGATTCCACAGCTGCACATCGCAAGAGCTCAGGAGAGGCCTGTGAGCACTCTATGTTTTCGTCTGGCTTCTGTCACTATCAAAGATAATTCCAAACATGGATAATTACAAAGAAATGCACTGTTCACAGCTGTGCAGGTTAGAAGTACAATAATGTCAAAGTGCTGTTGCCCTGCAAAAGTGCTCTTGCTGCTGCTCCACATGATAGAAGGTGCCATGGGGCAAGGGATCACATGAAAGTAAGATCTGAACCAAGGAAGCCAAACTCCCTTGTGTTATAACTCACTCAGAGTAACTAACCCAATGTCAGCAATAAGGGAGAGTCTCCATCACCTATTATCTCTTAATGTGTTACAGCTTAATACAGTGGCCATGAAGCTTCCCAGTGAGTTAAAGAGGACACGTCGAAGCTACATCTGCAGGTATTCAGTTGTCTTATAAATACTAGAATAATCTTAACGTGGAGGTCTTCATGCTTGGTCATTTCAGTTGCTCTTTGTACTCTCTTCAACTTTTACCCTGTAGCATTTTGTCACCCACTGTAAAGGGTAACAGACAGCAAGGGTAATCTAAATAACCACAAAAACTCAATTGAACCTGCTTCCTGGTTAAATATTTTTAAATAATTGTTAAAAAGTAATGAGGTTGACTGTTTATAATTTCATCTCCATCTGCTTCCCCCAGTCATGGTTTTAGGAGGATGCTATTGAACCAGTAATGATGTCCGATCCCAGGAGAGACTTGAAACTTAGTAATGTAATCAGCCCTTGAGCAATGAAGAAATCACTGAATAAAGATTGTTGAACTCACTAAGCAGGGCTTCACAGAAGAAATCATCACTCATGATGACTTTCTAAGACCATGAGTCCCAGCTTCAGTGGCTTCTGGCCAACAACCCATTGGAACTTCTTAATTTCCAATTAGTAAGAACATATAGTCCTAGCTAGGGACAATAAATTGTTTCCTTTGAGTTCAATAGTTTACCAGCCTCAAATTAGTTTATTTAGTCTAACTAAATTCATCAATCATCCACTATAAATTTTGAGAAGCTTAGCTTTTGCTGTACATTTTCTGCTGATAGGCTCTCTAAGGGAATGGAATATATCATGTCCCATGAATTTCTCTATGTCCTTTATTGATATTATTTTTCACTAAGTGAGAGTGCTTTAAATAAGAGTTCATTCTCTTGCTAAGACTCTTCTTTGTCCACCGTGAGACTTTAGTTTGATCCAAATACTACAGGATGGTTTTCCCAGCAAAAACTCTGACTTCCAAAGACATGCCTGGTGACTCTAAACATAGCTTTAGTGTAATCCACACACAACACAGAGAAGTAGGGAGGTATAGTGAGAGACACTTTACCAGGAAAAAAAATAAGCAGAAGCACTCAGTATTAAAAATGAGGAAGGGGAGGAAAGTCAAACTTACTTAGGTTTCTCCCCCTTTTCAGTAGCGAGGCAAACACATGGGGAAAGAGTTTTATGTAACTCCAGATGGGTTACAGGAAACTAAAAGGGAATGGGGCATGCAACTGTGGTCTTCTTTGAAAGTGTACAAAGGGAGAAGAAGGCAGAATGCTCATTTGCAGACATGAGTTAGATACTGAAGGGTGCTTTTACGGCAGACATAAGGCCTGAGGAAGTCATGGCAGCAGAGGTGAATTCTGGGGCTGACTAGAGGGCTCTGACTTCACCAAGGGACCACACATTACATGGTAAGAAAAAAAAAAGGTTGGTGTGACACAGAAAACTCAGCTACAGCTCAACAGGAGCCATCAGAGACCACCTTGGTGCCCAGCACCCGTTTCCACACCACAGCATAGCATAGACGTTCTTCTATGCATGGACCTCTTTGAGGAATGAAGAACAGTACAGGCAGAGACCCCTTCTAAATATGTGGGGCTTTTAAGTTAGTAAACGCAGGAATTATCTGTGACTTGCAAACCTAAAGAGTCTTTTTAGAGGTGGGTTGTTTGTTTTATTGTCTCCCCTTGTGGTCAATGCAGGGGGTCGCTTAAATCAATTACAAGTACTGAAGATATCAATACTGTTCACGCATCTGGCTTATATGTGCAAATAACCCATTATTTTTGGGGGGCTTAGCCCTGGCTAGGGTCTAGAGACAGAAACAGAGTATTCGCTAGCATGCAGTTCCATCTCCAGTTCTGCAAAACAGACAACAGTAACAGCAAATGGACTCAAATGAAGAAAAGTCTCAAATAGATGAGAAGTTTGCCTTCGCTTTAGCAAGACAACATGAGGCCTAACACGCACAGGACATAGAAAATAACTGAAATCTGTTATTTACCTTCACTTTATATTAACAAGCAACTAACTAGTCACACCATCTGTGGACTCCTAAAATAGTCTTATAAGTTATTTAATAATTGTAAATACAGACAACATTTAGAATTCACATTTTAGAACATAAAAGCTGTATACAGAAACCACCTTTACTTGACAGTGTTTAATGTGATATATAACTAAGATTTAAAACCTATTGTATTTGATAAGTTAATTATTAATAGTAGGACAGCCAGGGTAAAATGACAATTTTACCAATCTTCAATAATAGGAGACAGTCATTCTTCTGTAAACTTATAATCATGATTTAAGCATACATCTGTATGCACAAATTCTAATAGATCTTAATAATAAAAACCCAGACTCAGATATCGGGGTATACACTGAAAGATCAGAGGAGTAAAAGAGCCAGCCACAAGAGAAATCTCTTACCTCTACTGAATCTTCAGACCAAAGGGTAATCCTGTCTCTAGGAATCCTCAGACTGAATGGAGTGAGCTCCTGTCTCCTCCCCTTTTATATTCCTCTCTCTGCCCAGCCATATCACTCCTGTCTCCTCCTCCCTAGTGCTGGGATCAAAGGTGTGTGACTCCCAGGTACTGGGATTAAAGGTGTGAGCCACCACTGCCTGGTTCTGTTTCTCTGTTTCTGTATTAGACTGGATCAATCTAATGTAGCCCAGGGTAGCCTTGAACTCACAGAGATCTGCCTGCCTCTTCCTCCCAAGTGCTGGGATTAAAGGTGCGTGTCACCAATGCCTGGCATCTATGGCTATCTAGTGTGGTTAGCTCTGCACTCTGATCTTCAGGCAAGCTTTATTTATTAGATCACAAACAAAATATCACCACATACATCTATAATAGAGTTCAGACTTTGGAAGCATATTAAATATTTTTGTACTTTTACAAAAAATTATTAAGAAGCCTGTGAAATAGAAATGAAGATATCTAGATAATAGAAATTTCTTAAATTTATAGTTAAATATTCTTTCTTGTAAGAACCTTTTTGCTTCTTCCATTTTTGTACAAAATATCCATTTAGTTAATTTTAAGTGTGACATCAAATGAAAAGTACTACCCACTTATCACTGATGACATGAAATGGAAGGTAATATAGCTACTCTAAAACATGACATTACAAATTAGATTGACATTGACCCTGAACTGAATTAACCATATTATAACATTAAAAGTATCATACGTACATTATGAACTGGCATTAAGACCCAGAACACTCTCATATAAACTAAATGTACACACATATCATCAGCACAGATGCACTCTAGAGAGTCTCAGCTTTTCTCCTTCCCTTGGTAAACAATGAGAATCATGACATGTGTAGGCAGTGTATAAGGGCTCTCAAGTCTGCTTTGATTCCATTATTAAGAAATCCATATAGGATTGGATTAAGACAACAGGACATCATGCCTAACAGGTGACAAATGCAGTACACCAGCTTGAAATGTCTATTGGAGATAAGGTTATCGTTGAAATCAGTCACCACGTGGAAAAGGTGGAGTGGCATCCAGCTAACAGCAAACACTAGTATGAGTATAGTCAGTCTGTAGAAGACACTTCGAGATCGCTTTTTGATTCTAGTGATGGAGCGCTTGACTCTCAGCTCATGGGCATCTGAGTTTTCTTCAGGTTTCACCTCGAAGCAGGTTGGGACCCCTGGGATGACCTTACTGGATGAAGAGAGCTGACCTCTGACTGAGCCCAGGTTTTCTGGAACTGTTGGATGGTTCTCCTTGGAAGGTCCTGCTGGAGCAGGTAAAACACATGCCGTCTTCTTGCTGTATCTTCTTCTGTGTTTTCTGATGAATGAGTAAGTCCACTTTTGCCTGCTGGGGGGTTTTGCCTGGTTCCCGCTCTTTTTGGATGGATGAAGAGTTAAGTTGATCATCTCATTTTCTTCCAGTCTGTTTTCTTTGTGGGACAACCCGCAGCTTATACTCCTGCAGACACTCGTGTGGCTTACCGTTAAACAAACTAAAGGCAGAATATACTGAACTAACAATAAAGAGATTGTGAAAGCAATTCTGTATGAATCGGAAGGCCATGACTCAACACACAAATACTTGCTGCTCAACAGCGCTGAGCCAAAGGTTTCCTTAAGTTCCACAAGACTGTGGAACACTGGGAGGGGAGAACAGATAGCAAAGCCCAGGGTCCAGACCGTAGCTATCAGGAAGTAGCCATGGTTTGCTGTTAAATTGTTAGATATAGGGTGCTTTATCATATGGTACCTGACAATGGCAATTGATATTAAAATCAAAGTGGAAACCAGAACTGACACACACTGGAGGAAAGGCATAATGTGGCACATGGCTTTGCCGAACATCCACTGATCCAACAAGACCGAGGTCAGTGTGAAAGGTGAGCAAAACAGCACTACTAAGATATCGGAGAAGGCCAGGTTACCTATAAGAAAGTTCACTGTAGTCTTCTGATTGCGCTTTTTCATAACAGCCATTAAAATGAGTAGATTTCCCATAAAGCCAAGAAGACTGACAAATGTATAGAGCCCAATCAGAAAGTATTGTAAATCATCCACACTACCCCTGTAGTCATCCCAGACAGGAAAGGCAGCATTCCGAGCAGCAGTAGTGTTGTTCTCTGTACTTCTGTAGTCAAGCCAGACAGGGAAGGCAGCATTCCCAGTGGCAGTAGTATTGTTCTCTGTGACAATCGTCTTGTTAAAATGCTCTTCAAGTTCAAAATCCATACTGAAGTCCTGCTTGGAATAAGACCACATCCATTAATGGCTTGAAGTAAAATTACATACTGCTAAAACTTCAACGTACTCAGAACGAAACTAAATTGGTAGCTTGTCCCCATCCCCTCACAAGCCTCTAAGGTCATAAAATACCCTTTATTTGGTTCTAAATTTGCTACAAATTCAGCAATAATAATGACAGAAAACTTAAGTCTATCACTGGTTTCACACACTGTTAACTTCTGCTCAAGTCAGATTTTGTTTTTCAAATTTATTTCAGAAATAACATAAGAAAAATGGAAAAGGAAAAGGCAGAGAAAAACCCCAAGATATGTAATTTTGGTAGCCTAATGCTATTATTCTCTAGTGAAGATGCCAGAAGTGTATTAGCCTATGATATTGCCTTTGAAAATTCTTTTCTTTCTTGTCAAGATCAAACCTAAAAGTCACTATCCTGCATCTGTGTTACTCTCTGTTAAGCCTCAGGAAATATGGTAGAAGAAGGGACAGAAAGAACCTAGCAGCCTGTGTGACTGGGGGAGTTGTGTGGAGTGCTGTCAGAGCATGGCATGGCTGTGACTCTCTTGAACTTTTGGCAGCTATGATTACCTGTACAATTCTGTACAAGAATGGGCCTCTCCACACCCTGCTGAAGAAGGAAGAGGGTCTTGTGTGATCCCAACCTTTCCTCAGGATTTATAGGCAGTTAATGATTGATGGGAGACGTTTAGCCATTGGCAAGGTGCCCCTTCCCCTGTAAATGAATCTTTCATGTCTTTGAGAAAGAATTCACTGGGACACACACACACACACACACACACACACACACACACACACACATCACAGGAAACTGCAATGGAGATAAGTTGAGAAAATGGAAGAGGAGAGAGAAGGTATTGGGGTAACATGATCAAAATGCATTATGTACATGTGTGAAAATGTTATAATTAAATTTGTTGTTATCACTAATCATTATACTGATAAAAATGTTCCCTTACTGCTACATTGGATGTGATCTCTTTAGAACTCCCATGACAGTGAGATTACAGCTATCTGACACTGGTGTTGCAGTCGGCTTCACATAGCCATCATAATGCCTCCAGTTTACTGCATTTACTTCTAAGCAATGCAAAGTACAAGCAGCCCCTTACTCTTTGTGGTTCCCACTGCAACACATGGCACAGTAGGTTTATCACTGGGTGTCAAATATTTATAAGTGGATCAAAAACTTCAGACAAAAAAATCTAGTGATCAAATGTGACCTACTTCATGCAGTGTTTAAATTTAAGCTCCCCACATATACAGCATCATCTCAGAACCTGGGTCTATACAGTATCATTCATTAAAGGCTTGAGAAGCTGACAGAATAACTCGGGGTTAGTTCTCAGTCTTATGAATTTGAACTGTGGGCTGACTAGCAGTGCTAATGGGAAACAGATTGCCTGTTGTTGTTTTTTTTTAATCTAAAAACTACTTGTAAATGCCAGTTCAAGAAAGATCCCGTAGCTCATATCGTCTCCAGAAAGAACTGCATTTTAATTTTAAATGTAGAAGTGAAATTAAAGAGACCTCATAAGATCTTTGTGTCAAATGCAAGAGTGGCAATCATACTGTATTACGTACCACCCCTTCCTCTCCATAGATTAGAGATTTCGTTAGTGGTTCGTGTAGTGATAAGTAGCCTCTAATGTATCAGCAAAGGGAAAAAAGGTGTCTTTTTAAAAATGATGAGAACTCTTTTGATACAGGCTTTCACTATGTTACCCAGGCTGGCCTTCATCATCCATTATCCTGCTTCAGCTTCTGACGTACTGGGAGTATAGACATGATAACATGCCCAGTTGTCATGAAAACCTTGTTTTCAAACAACCACCACCTAGTGAAAACTCAAGGCAGCAATTGTTAATTTAACTCTGGCAAATATATATTGCTATAGAATTAGATAGACAGATAGATAAATAGATAGATAGATAGACAAAGAGATGATACGTTGATAGATGATAGATAAAACAGATAGATGATAGACAGGTGATAGACAGATGATACTTTCATAGATGATTGATAGATAACAGGTGATCTGTAGATATAGATAGACAGATAGACAGATGGATAGATAGCTGGTATACACTTATACATACAGCTAAGAAAGATTTTATTATATACCAACATATATTTACCTGTTTATTTCATCAGCCATGACTGAAAATTACTAAAATAGAAGTAAGCATCATTCTCTTCAATTTATGATGAACCTACAGGTCCTGATTCAATACATTTCTGTACGATGGATGCTTTGATTCACAGATAATCATCTTAAAGCAAGACTGAACTTCTTTTCATTGTCAGAAATATTCACATAGCTATTATTGCATAAGAAAAGTTGAATGTTCCTATGAATGTCTACCACTGACTCCATGATGCTGGAATAACTTTCTGAAACTAACCACACCCATCCAAAGATAAATTACACCGAAAGCTCCAGCCCATGTTCATTTGTTCTTAGACCCTAACCACTAATTTCCATTGGTTCTGACTCAAGGGAAAGAGGAGAGATGGAACAACAGTGACTCACATGGTCTCCTGAATCATCCCACTCACCATATGACTAGATAATGGCCTTCCAGCAACTGCTGTGGGGAAGTCAGTGTGCTTCTAATAAAAGTGGCCTTGACTGGTGCTTCAGTCCCATTTCCTGAGTTCTGGTGACCTCTCGCTCCTTTGTGGCCTGTTCATGATCCTATTTATACTTGGGATATGCACGGGCTGTTTGTAACAATACTTCTCTGCCTGCTTGTACTTTTGACTCACTTTTTTGAATCAACCCTTTTTCCTTAAACTTGTGGTAGGTCAGTAGTCACTAATTGGATTTTTCTTCTATGACTAAAGCAAGGATAAGGGACAAATGGGACAGAGCCATCCACAATGGCTTTGTGCTTTCTTGCTATATGACATTCAGAATAAAATTGCTGTCAATTTTTTTAGAGAAGAAAGAAATGCAGCAGGTTTTTCTCTGCAATAAAAAATATGGTTTTGAAGGGTTGAGGCTATAGTCAATCTGCAGAGTGCTTGCTTGTCTAGCATGTGTGAGGCACAAGGTTCAGGCTCCAGCACAAACACATAAATGTGCCTGTACACATATGTAATTTGAAGTCTAAATTCATATTATATCCAACGGATGAGGTCCCATTTTTTGATGTTCGATTAGATTAAAGATAGGGAAGGTATTCATTATTTTACCAATATCGAGAAGCATAATAAAGCATATCAGGTACTCTGGATGCTAAGTAAATATTTGCTATTAATCATTTTATAAAGATAGCTTACTGTTCCAGATTTAAAATAAGAGAAATGAATGGCGCTGAGGATTTTCGGGATACAGTATGACTATGTGTTTGTATATCTATGTGTGTATGGATATATACATTCACTGAAATCAGGGGTTTTAAATAGCCTGAAATGAGATATATACGTAGACAACAATGATTGTTTAGCACTTCAACTACCTAAATGCAGTATCATCATTGATAAAAACGCATGACCAACAGGAAAATAAAACTGCCAAAATGTTACAGTTCTCTTTAATTAGGTGAAAATGTGTACCAGACTGCACAGTTTTTACTAAAAGCATGTCTGTTTTAAACTATGTGAAAATTACTATGAATTTATTAGACAGCAAAAAGCTTGGCAGATCAAAGAAATACCATCTGAAGGCTTCACTGGACACTGGAGAAAAATGGACGATAGCATTTCTTTCCTAAATTATTTCTCTATTTTAAGTAGCTACCAAAGTTACTTTTAGACAAATATCTGAGTAAGATGTTGCTCCTTAAGTTAAGCTAGTCTTTACTGAAACCTAATATGCCCCGTACGCTGTTCTGAGTCTGAAGATGGCCACAGCATCTATACATCACACAAGCACATCCACACACATGGCAGGTAAGGTACTCCGAACAGAAGGTACCTCCTGCAAATCTTAGCTCCCTTGAATGACTTCTCACAACTAAATTATAGATACTGCAATGTGTGTGGGAGGACACATTAATTGGTTTCTTTAAAACTGCTTCCTTATAGTTAGAGGACAGTTTAACCATTAGGCATTGGGTATAAGTCATCCATTTTCCAGCTGAAACTGTGAAGTAGAGGAACTACTTTGAAATCAAAATAAGTAGGTAAATAACAAATCAAAAGATCTCCTTGCTTGCACTTACCCATACACTTTCTCCCGTTTTCGTGAAAAACAACAAACGAGTCTCAGAAATCTCAGTCTATGAAACATTCCTCTTTGCAATAACCAGCTCTCTATATACAGTTGCATGCAAATACAAGTACTTCATAGATGATAAAAGCAACGTCATAAAAGATTCTTGATTCATCTTAGATAATGCCGGAAGGGCACTTCAACAATTACATAAAGGCATAATATTGTAGGAAGAAGAGTGTTTCACACCACATGGGTTCTTCCTTTCTACCCATTTCACCACCTGAAATACTCAAGTTCAGTTCCCTGAGTAACACAATGAGTAGGTGGGCGGGTGGGGGGTGTTCATTAAGCTGTGGCAACTTTACAAGAGTATTATCTGTGAGCGCTTATTGCAGTTTTCTTATAAAGTGCTCTGTGTGTGACACGAGTGAAGTCAGAATCAACCTCAAGGGTTTTGAGAAAGTTCTTAAAGCAGCAAAGAGGAGGAACTACAGTGACAAGAAGGCTATAGAGAGACTGCTCTACACAGGTAAGTAAGGTTTCTCTGTTAGGATAACTCCCTGCTTAATAAAAATGTGTATCATTCTTTCTGCAGAAGAAATCAACCATGTAGGAATAATAAATACATGTAATTCTTGTCTAGTAATAAACTATCAACTGCCTGCTTGCTGTGGTCTTGCAGAGATGGCACGATTCCATGTCCCCACGTATTCTCGTGGTGTGTTATTCTGCAAGACAAAATCCTGCAAAAATTGGCCCTGGACAAAAAAACGCAGTCCTGTTCAGCTAATAAACATGCAGGTACCCACGACCCTTCTGCCCATGCTTAGACTCTTAACAACACAGTCTCTCTTTCCTTGAGCCATCTAGAAATTTGAAATGCATTCAATCTTGAGCTGTTATCACAGATTATTTAGTTGTTTTTTTTTTTTTTACTTCCATCTAACAAGATGTTCTTCGAATTGCTAAACTGCAGGAATATAAACATACGAGTAAGAATTCCCTTCTCTGGAACTCAGGTGTGTGGATAGCTCTTTCCTGCTAGCAGCTGACTTACAGACCACCTTGCAAACCTAAGTGCATAGCTGTCCCCCGGTGTGTGGCCAGCTGTGGGACCAGGAGACAGCTGGGTAGCCCAAGGAAATGGTAGACTGTGTCCTGGGCACCGACAGAGCTCGTCTAGGACTGACAACCTGCCTGGGCACCCTGTGGGCTGTGGTTCCTCCACCTCAGAAGCCCACCAGGCTGCACCCCGTGCTCCCCCCAAGCCGACTGCACTTCGTCCAACCCATCCTCCCATCCTCGGGACCCCTCAGGAGGATCGTATAGGGTCAGACAGGAGCCTGCTCCACCGCGAGTTTGGCACAGGAGGGACCTGCCAAGCAAGGAAAGATTCGCTCTCCCTTCCCGCCTGACAACTGCGGTTTCTCCACCTCCATCCCCTTTCCCAACCACGCTGCCTCCCGGTCCGCACCCCACCCTCTTGGAAACCGCAAGATGCTCCGGGACCCAGGATAGGGGCTCGGGCTTCGGGTAGGGTCAGGAGAGGCCTGGAGTGGGTACCTCGGGATGCCCCGGCCGCCGCGGGTGCCTGGACTCCTGGGTACGCGAATAAGCGCTGTGCTTCTGCTCGCAGCGGTGGCTGCGGCGGCAGGAGCGGGACCTGGAGGCGGCGGCGGGGAGGAGGGGCCCCGGAGCCGACAGGGTTTTAGAAGCGCCTCGGGAACACGTGACAGTCCCCGAGACCCCAGAGACCTGGTTCAAGATGGCCTGCTCCGAGCCCCATAGCCCGGTTTGGAGACCTCCCAGTCCGTGTCTTTTGTTTGGAGGCCCCAGACAACAGTTCTTGGGCTTCAGGCTGTGTCCCGCCATCCTGTGTTCTGGTTCCAGGAGTTAACTTAGGGGTCCCACAGATGTTTGCCAGTCCTGTCCTCAGCTCCATAATGAGCTGTGTGGGAGTGGGCTTTTTTTTTCTGAGAGCTTTTGTAAGAAAAACCTTCAAGGCCAGTTTTCCTTTGGAGGGGGGAGTGGGGGACGCAAATTTCTTTCTTGCCTCTTTGACATGAAAAAGTCTAGGAAGCATTCTGCGATGCACCATGCAAAGCAGACAATGGGACCAACTTCCCCTCTAAGGGGTAAGGAGTGTGGGTGTGAGCAAGGAACACATAGCTGGAGGAGCTGGGGAGTGAGGGTAACCTGGACTCAACCCTCCTCCAGAGTTTTCCATAACAAAAAGTGTGTGTGTGTGTGTGTGTGTGTGTGTGTGTGTGTGTGTGTGTGTGAGACGGTTGTTGCTGTCCTTAAAAAAATAAAGACAACATAAAAATAGATAGAACAGACAAATAAAACCTTGTCTGTCCTGTCAAACCAGCTTGATTTTCATTTTTAATCTTGTCAGATCTCTGTCCTTTTAGCAAGATTGTGTTAGTATTTGGCTAATTATTAGTTGGCAAATACTTGGAGCTTCTTCCTCTGTGGTGGCAGTGGTGGCCTGGTGGTGGCGGTGGCAGTGGTAAGGAGCTGCATGCCTCAGGATATAGCCTGCCATAAACAACTATCACGATGACAATATATGACATTGCCTGCTGCAGGCTGACTGCAAGACTGAAGACGTTGTGTCAACTGAAGATGACTTTCATCCCTTGGGAATAATGCAACATGTTAATCTAACCCCTGGGGCAGCAATTGCTAGCTGCTCCTCAGGGACAATGGCATGTATGCCTGTTCCTGCCCATCTAACGTTCAGTCCTCAAGGGAACTGAGGAGCATGCCATTTCATAAGCCCAAGTGAGCCAAGAACTTCAAAACGCTTCAGAACAATATGATCTCACTCTTCTGAGCTGCATTTGGGAAACACCATATTTGTTCCAGTAGCTGCCCACAACTGGTACCTGAGCGGGATCCTGAGATCCTGCTGTGAGGGAAGGGAGGAGGGAGAATGCCTTTTGGGAAGCAAGGGCTTAGCAAACAAGGACTTGGCCCTAGGTTTTCTCAATGCCAGCTGATGGCAGTTACATACTATATGTTGCCAGATGAGGCTCTGTTCTCCATTCCTTGCGCGGTCTGACACATGCCCTCCAAATGCACAGTGGTTTTCAAACAGCTCCTTAGTGAGGCCCTTGCTTCAAAATAAAATAAGTAGGCTGTGCTACATGCTCCTGCTTATCCCATGCTAAAAGGAATTTTTCCTTTCCCATGCATTTGTACTTCTTTTCTGATATTAGCGTATTGAAAATAAAGGCCCGTGCGACATTGAAAGGACTCTGAACTGGCCTATCTTGCTTGGTCCCCAGGATGTCCATAAAAACGCACAAGCCTGAGAAGAGAGGGTGGGTAGCAAGGTGCTTGCTGCGCAAGCCTGACAACCCAGGTCTGGATCCTCAGAAGCCACGTGAAAGCTGAGCATGTCGTATGTGCATCTCAGAAGACAAGGGTCCTGGGGACTGAATGGCCAGTCGGCACAGCTGACACAGTGGGCGCCAGGCTGCACGACAGACCCTGACTCAAGGTGGAGAGCAGCAGCAGACACCTATAGCCAACTTCTGGCCTCTACACCTACATGTACAAGCGTGTATGCTCATGCATACGCCTTACACAGCATGCAGCACAGAGTCAAGAACCTTTTTCTATAAAATGCCCTTTGGTATAAAATATCAAGGATGTGTGGAAGGACCAAATTATTACGAATTCTCTTTTGGAAGAATGTATAGAACTGAAAATTTTAGACATGTGCTGTATAAAAAGGCAAGCATAAATGTAAGTGAGCTCTTACCTCCAGTCCCCAAAAGGACTAGAGACAATCATCATTACATTTGTAATTCATAATAGAGTAAATTTGTTTCTATTTTATGGGGTACCTTTCAAGAGGAGGAAGTGCCACTTCTGAGGGCAGAAACAGTAACGTCCACCTCTGCTGTCGGCGTATTTATGAAGTGCTCACCTGGGAAATTAAGTTGGATTGTATGCATGATACAAAATGAAGCTGGCTAATCCCCAGTTACTGTGATTCACTACCAGCTAAAAAGGAAAGCTTATCTGAAAAGCTGAGAGTCACGGGTCACTGGGGAGTCCTAAGACAAATTAGGGAACAACCATGCCTAGGGTGACATTTTGCTGAGGAACATGTCTGTGGCTTCTGTGAGGTTATCACTCCAGTTTAATAATAGCTTCCATTTGTGGAGGACGGTTACTAAAATGCTTTGACATCCTCTCAGCTGATGTGCAGCTCTGACACATTAGTTTCAGGAGTTCTAGAGTACGGAGGCTAGGAAAATATCATTTTACTGTGTGAGTTGTGCTTCCCCTAAAGTTTTATTATACCAATAAAGCACTTCTATGGTAAATTGTGGTACATTTAAGTCTTAAATATTTCAAAGACTCGGGAGATGCAATTTCTGTGTGCTGTGAAACTTTTTATAATGCTTTCTGCTGCGTTGACAACTGTGGAACAGTAGTATTTGGTATATAACTTTATATTTAGGGTTTAAGATGAGGTAATAGCACATTATTGTAAAACAAAGCAATTATTTTTATGAAAGACGTTTTAAACACATTAACCTACAGTAGTATATGCATAGTTGTTTTGTCAAACAACTTGGTGACAATCTTGAGTTCCTAAAGAGGCTCACCACAATATTTAACTGACTCCTAGTAAGTACTGTTCTCCTTAGCAACACAATAAAGCTATTAGATGCACATCTTGGACTGACTTCCAGAGAGATTTTACAACTCATCAGTACAAGCTAATTTTCCACATTTAAAAATGCATATACATATATGTGATACACGTCTATGGCGATATAATCATATACCATGTGTATTTATATATAGACACTTACAATACCTGAATTGTAGCCATGTTGCATTGCAAGCTAATTGTGTGACTTTAGACAAACAACTTGATCTTTTAGTGTTTATTTTCTTGGTCTGTAAATGAAAGTTTCAACTTGCAGATCTGGAGTTCCTCTTTAAGCACTGAATAGCTAATGACTTCATCCCATTAACAAGTGTAGAAGGAGGTTCTGTCAGCATTCTCCTAGTCTGGTAGCCTGATATACTTCCTGCCTGGCTACTTGCATTTTTTTAAACCAATAAGAAAAACACATATTCACAGCATACAGAAGGACCTCCCCCATCGAACAAGCACACATTATATACATGTTTAGAAATGCAGCCTTTTTTGTATCTCTGAAAATTGGCAGGCATAAAGGTACAAGATATTATACTGATAAAATTTTCTATCCTTTCCGCAGCTGAGCATTTACAGCTGTATTTTATTCTTTTCCCTAAGAAATCATGGGAGTCTTACATGTCAGTAAAACATCCCTTGGATTATTATATTATTTTTAAATTTTGTGGCAATCTATATCTATATTTGGTGCATACAGATTTCTTAGGAGGCATTGTATCATGTGTCTCCATGTACCCTAACGGGAGACTTTTCTCCATCGAATCTCAGTCCCACTGGACTGGTTTCTCTCTACCCAACTGGGTCCCAGCAACCACTTAAGAAATAACCACTCACACACTTAATATATATTTATAATTGTTTGGCCATTGACGTAGTCTTCTTACTGGCTAGCTCTCTCTTAACTATTAACCCACTACTATTAATCTATGTATCACCACATGGCCTTGGCTTTCCAGTGGTGCCCACACCTCTTGACTCCCCAGTGGCTACATTACCTCATCTCTTTCCCTTCCCTTTCCATGCCTCTTAGTTCAGAATTCCCACCTAACTAAATTCTGCCTGACCATTGGCTTTACTCATCAACCAATAAGAGAAACACATAGTCACAGCATATAGAAGTACATCCGCCATCAATGTACACCTGATTGTTCTTCCGTTTGCAAAACTCATAATCTTAATTAGTATCCTCTAAAACTGACTCTTCCTAAATAAGTTTTTTCATTGGCTATCTAAATTTTCAGAAGTTAGTATTTTAGATCTATTTTGAAGTTTAAATATAGCTTTAATATATTTAAGTGGAATGAAAGGGAGACTTTTTATTTATATGGGGATTTTGTTTTGTTTTTGTGTTGGTCTGTTTTGAATTCTCTTTAAAAAGTGTTAGCCCAGAAGTAAAAGTTAGCATGATTGCATAATGTACCCTTCCAAAAACTATGCTACCACACTGCATTCTTACTCACCATTCTTTCTGGTATTTCAGCTTTTTAAAGTAGGTCATACAGTGGGCAGAAAAAAGCTGTGAGACATTTCACCCAGGAGACATTGTAAGCATTTTCAAAGGCAGTGGCACCCATCATTCAAGCTTATACATATTGGGAGAAACAGAATCAACATGCTTTCTGAATTCGAGGAGGCTGTCAGGTATTATTTTATGCTCTAAGCTTGAAGAGAAGGGGGCAAAAATCACTCTGTCAGAGACATCACAGTATACTTGTAGATCTGTGCAAACACTTACTGGCAAACAATGTAAGTTCTGCATTAGAAGTAATCCTAGTGTGCTCAGAATGTAACCAAGAAAGCAAAGCCAGCTTTGGGAAGAGGTGAAGATGCGGAGATGAGATGGGACTTGAACTGAACTTCCAGGGATAATTAAGTTAGACAGACAGAGAGGGTAGACAAGTAAGATGTGGGCCAATACCGTGAAGGGCAGAGGGTGTCGCATCTAGAAAAGTGTGAATGGCTCAGGATGACTCCAATGTGTGTTTTGGGGGGGCTATAACACAGAAATCAGTATGGTTGGAAAGCTTACTTGCACTTTTCTTGAAATATCTAGATTGAGAGCACTGATAATTTAAGTTAGAGAGATGTCACTGAACACCTGTGGGGGGAACGGAATGGCAGCAGAATTGTCTAGCCGAGTAATACATGGCAATGGAGGCCAAAAACCACAAAACAAAACAAACAAACAAAAAGGCGAAGTGGGAAACTTGAAGGAGAAAAAATAATCAGAATCTGTGATCAATTGGATTTGAGAATGCAAGAGGAAAGTGCTTGGGTTCTGATAATGTTCTAGGAACCTGGTGGAGATTTGGAGACTTGGGCACACAAGGACATAGCTGATGGCAAAGAGTATGACTGTGTACTAAAGTGAAATGGAAGCTTGGGGCATTTAGTGTGATTTCAGAGTCAATCAAGGAGGAAATGGGATTAAGGAAAGTACAAACTTTATCTAGGTAGCTCTCGGGAGAGATGGAGGACAGAGGGTTGTGTTTTTCATCAAGAGAAGTTCCAGAGACATCAGGGTGCAGCTGCCACTCATAAGGAAAGGAGGACAAAGGGACTCTTGAGGGAGAAGGAGAAACATAGAATGTTCAATAACTAGGTGACCTTGTCTGAAGGGAGGGTAGCCTGGTTCTCAGAGAAGTTAGAAGGTGGTATACTTTATTAATCAGGATATTTAATATAAAGTATGTAAAAATGGTTAAATGAAGACTATGTTTAAAGCAATTAGAAACACAGATATTTGAGTTGATGTTATGTCAGGACCACTAATAGCTTCTGACAAGATTGAAAACGATTCTCTGGCAATCCACCTGTGTAAGCTGTTAAGAACTTTCCTAAAGAGTATCCTACTTCAGACCAAGAGATAATCACCAAATTAATTTTAACATTGTGATCGTTAATTCCCTTCATCAACTTAATAGGATCAAGAAACACCATTAATGAGTGACACCCTTGAGTGTGCCTGTGTGGCTGTTTCCAGAGAGAATTCACTCAGAAAGGAAAGCCCATCCTGTGTGTGTGTGGTGCCATTCAACTGCCTGGGATTCCATACCAAGAAAGGAATGGGGATACAGCTCTCTGAGCACTGCACTCCCTTTTCTCTGCCTTCTGATAAGCACAATGGACCAAGCACTCCCACTGCCATATTTTCTCTGCTCTGAAGGACTGTACTTCTCTAAATTATGAGCCACAACAAACCTCCCTTCAGTAAGTTACTTTTGTGAGCTAGGAGAAACATAATACAGACACTGTTCTAGTTAGCTTTAATTTTCAACTTGGCACAGCCTGTAATCACCTGAGAAGGGAGTTTCAGCAGAGGGAAAAATCAGGTCAGGTTGGCCTGTGGTCAAGCCTGTAGGCATTGTCTTATCAGCTAATGCAGGAGGGTCACATGAGGTGGGTAACATCATTCCCTGGCCACATGGTCCTGGACTATATATAAAAGCCAACATAACGCCTTCGAGTAAGCTAGAAAGCAGCATCCCTCTACTGGTTCTGCTTCAAGTTGTAGTTTGAATGCCTTCCCTTCTTTTCCCCAATGATATGCTGAGTTTAACTTCCTTCCAGGAAGTTACCTTTGGACATGGTGTTTTTCATAACAACAGAGATGGATCTAGAACAGATATCATTTTCACAGAGGAGAGTTTAAGTTGCTTGCCTTGGTATATGCATGCTCATGTTGTATTTAAAGTAATTTATTGCTTCTACTAGTCAATTATCTCACAAAGAGAAATAAATAAAATGATGGTATGGGCTATTTGACTATACTAATGATTTTAGTCAAACTGCCTATGTATTCTATTTAATTACATCAAATATGTGAACTAAAAAGTCCTAATAATATTTTAGAATTTTTAGACTCCTAAAAATCCTAGTCTTCCTCCACCCCTTCAAGACAGGGCTTCTCTGCATAGCCTTGGCTCTCCTGGAACTCACTTATAGACCAGGATGATCTCGAACTCACAGAGGCCTGCCTGCCTGTGTCTCCTGAGTGCTGAGATTGAAGGCATGTGGCACCATGCCTGACTCAATCCTAATACTCTTGAGTTTCTCTTGAAACTCTGCTGAAGACACATTTCCCTTTATTTTCCTAGCAACAATACTGTTTAATGAAGTAACCTTGCACTTTACACTCTTTGGCCTCTTGTTGAGACCTGTGCACTCAGTGGATACCAGAAGGGAAAACTTGACGAACAATCGATTCATACAATATGAACCGATTCACCAGCACATTTCACTGGAGGTTCTGTCCCAGTGGACAGAATTTCCCATCAGTATCATCCATCTATGCTTGATTCTCACATAGAGTATTAATTCTTCTCAAGATTCATCTGAATGATCAGTGTGGAAAAGTAACCTTCACCGGGGCCTCGAGGCACTTCAGGAAATCTCTTAAGCATTTGAATAACAGTAATATTCCACTGCATCTCTTGATGTGATGACTTACTGCTTATGCATCTGCAGTACTTGGGATCACACACACTAGGTAAGCTTACCCACTGAGCTATATCCCAGCCCTGTGTCATGGAATTTTAAAGCTTGGCTAGGCTGTTAAAATGTTGTAATTTTTTAAGAGATAAAACTAATATTTACTTAGATCTGATGAGTAAAATTCATCCTTCAGTTAATATGGCAGAGAGAAATGGTTGGCCAAGAGAATATTAGAAGAGGTCATTATCTTAACCAAGAGTAATAAGTCAATCTTTTCCAAAATTTCATAAGGAAATAAACAGAATTATCTCTTTCTGGCAAAGGTGGTATTTTTGTCTATCAATTCCAAATAAGAAAGTAGACAACTGATTGCTGATTTGAGACTAGGAAGAGAGGGCTGGACATGCAGCTCAGTTGGTAGTGCTTGCCTGGCATGGGTGAAGCATTGGCGTCAGTTCCCAGTGCCACACAAGCCAGGCATGATAGCATAGGGGGAGGGGGACCAGAAATTTAAGAGCATCCTTAGCTACACACTGAGTGTGAAGTAAGCCTGGTCTACACAGACCCTGTCTCAAAATGGAAAAGGAGACGAAATCATCTTAAAATTTAGCATGTGCCATCAGAGGAATTCAATTTTTTTTGCCTATTGTAACTGCCCCATAAAAGGGGGCTTGAAATCTTTCTAACTTGGAGATGTTCTTCATAAATGGTGTTTCTAAAGTTATATAAGTATGCTGTTGATGCATGTTCAAACTTTATACCTCAAAAGTTGTCAAGAAAATGTTTTGAGACCAATATCTGTCAAAGGTTGACTTATGAGGTCAATATCTCAGGAACTCAGTTGTATATGTGTGCTTTAAGGGGACACTTCATAGAAACTAAATAAAACAGTAAACTGCAACGGCCACATATCAATACAGACCTTTAGAGAAATGTTATTAATGTTTTTGGAAAACACGTAAGTGCCCACGGCCAAATTATATTCTCAAATCCAAAACAGCTCCTGGCGAAAATGATATCCCATGAAAACCTCATTCTTGGGAAATAACTGAACCATTTTACTTGTTACTCTCCCGGCAGTCTAGAACTAGCTGATGTGATGATCCCAACCATATAGGAGGAAGTCAAAGGACTGTGTGATTTACCGGAATTGGGCAGGCAGAGGACAGGTAGAAACAGGAGTAGTGCTGTTCTTCAGAGAACCTGAAATCCTGAATCGTTCCTATTTCCATCCTTGGTGGGACCAGTTTACTGTTAAGTCACTGGAGTATTTTAATGTATATGCATGCCGGCCGTTCTACAAACATTGTACATTTTAAAGCTGATCATAACCCTCTTCCATCCTCATAAAAATATACTCAGTGAAAAATATTTCAGATAGCTTTCCCACAAAAAGCCCCAGAGATTGTGCACAAACAAGCTTGTATTAATAATTCAATAATCTTTATTCAACCTAGCCCTCAGAAAAGGAAATCATGCTTTTAACAGTGTAAGTTTCATGTGATTTTGTGTCATGGGATTTTACTGGTGGTTTTTTTTTCCCCTTTAATGTCAAATAATCATGGTTATTTTTAAATGAAATAGGTACATCCTAGGCAACACCCATATACTGGGAAGATTTTGTATTTTGAATTTTGAATTAAATAATTTTTAGTTCCTAGCTCAGTCAATTGTGTGTTCGCGCGCATGCGCATGCGCGTGTGTGTGTGTGTGTGTGTGTGTGTGTGTGCGCGCGCGCGCGCATTACTCAGCCTTGACTTTTCAAACTGAGATAAAACCACGTGAAGTATGAGATCAATGTGTCCAATAATTAGCCTGAACCACGAAACACCGTGAACGGTTGGCAAGGGCCATGTCCTCCCAGCACACCCACAACGTTCCACATCTTATCAGATAAATCACCAAGGAAATCGCTTTGACTCTTTTAGACCACCAGAGAAATGCTGGCTTCCACCTTCCCTAAAAAGGCATCTAGTCACCAGAACAAAACTGACTCAAACGCATTTTCTTAGTGAGGGAGAAAAAGGCTCAAAGGCTCTCAACGGAGATACGCTGCTTTTGCTTTTCAAAGGTCTTCTTTTTGTTCTCTTAGACTGGAGAAAATAACTTCTAGGCATTGGCGTGCGGAATATTTGAGCGTCACAAAACGCTGCAAACCCATTAGCTGAGGCTCTGCGGTGAAGTACATCCTTCCCCCTTCCCGTTAAGTGACCTCTCCCTCCATTCTAGACTCGGGTTTAAGCTTGGACTCTCCAAGAAGGACTTCGCCACAAGATGGCACTGACCTGCAGACAAAGGAAATCGCAGTGGCACTGACTTTTTGAACAGGCTTCTAAATGCGCCTTCCTCGAGTCAAAGACTGGAAGGGGTGAGGGCTCGGTGCGTACGGGTCTGACAGCGTGGCTCAGGTTTGACTGCTTCTCTTTCCAGAACTCCTAGGCAACGCACCCCGGAGGTGTGCATCCGAGGTACGGTGTTGGGAGGAGGCAGTGGGGGAAACCTTGGGTGATCCTCGTGGGGTGCCATCACATGATCCAGGATGAGGTGGAGTTAGGCTTTAAGGGGGCGTCTCTTCCTATCTTCCTCAATCTTTAGGGTTTGAGCAGGAGAAATACCAAGGGATCTTTCCTCCCTCCGGGTGACACTCTTCCCGCGTCGACACGGGCGAACAGACGGATTCTTCAAAAGGTAAGTTTCAAGTCGGTGTTATTAAGGGACTTTTTGGATATCTCTTATTGATGGGGTGAGGTTATGAGAGGAAGGATGCCGGTGTCTGGTCCCGTTGTGAGAACTGAGTGGGGCGTGGAGTCAGCCTTTCGCTTTGGTTCCAAGTAGGAGCAGGTGGCAGGATGCTCTAGATTGTGGGACAGGTCTGGGACATTGTGGATGTGAGACCTCAAAGGGAGAGGATATCACTCCTACAGTTCGCGCATCTGGGGGCTCCAGGTGGGAACCTAAGTTTCCCTCTCCTACTCTCTTAGAGGGCGGGGGAAGTGCCGGGGTTGGTCTTCCCCGTACCCCGGTAGTCATCCTCATTTTTCTGTAGCAGCCCCGAGTTTTCCTAGGTAACCCAATGGTCTGCACTGGGCAGGGGTGGGGGCGCCTGCCTTCTGGATCCCGACGCATGTGTTCTTCTTCGCGCCACGTGGGAAAAAGTGAACTGCCCCAGGTACTGGACCGCAGAGTGGGGGTGCCCCTGCCCCCATCTCCTGTGCCTGGCCTCTTCAGGCTGCCGTTCCCCTTGCAAGACTTTAATCTTGTCTTCCTATTTCGGAGTTTTAACCACCCAACTTCTCAGCTCTTTTTAGAAAGGTACTCTTGCTGGGTAGCAGGTTAGGGACGGACTAGGAGCAGAAGGGGGTTAGCCGGATATCCTGCTGTTCCCCAGGCAGGTTGAAAAGATGCTAATGTTTGAAGGGCCCACGCTGGGCAAATGAGAGAGACAGACTGACCTCCAACTCGAGGCAAGCTTGTGCATTTGGGCTCCTTCATTTCTGCTCTGTCGGTCGTTTATTTGGGTAGAGGTGCCCTGATATAGCGAGTCTCTCTCTCTCTCTCTCTCTCTCTCTCTCTCTCTCTCTCTCTCTCTCTCTCTCTCTCTCTCTCTCTCTCTCTCTCTCTCTCTCTCTCTCTCTCTCTGTCTCTGTATGTGTGCACGGGGGGATTTGGAATGGGGTAATCAAGAAGACTCATATAGTTATACAATACAGAAAAGGATGGTGAAACAGGAGTTTTGATGGAATCTACCCGATTTCCCTCTGGTAACTCCTAGAGCATGAAAACCTAGGGGAGGGTGGGGAGAGGGAGTGAAGATAAGGTGTGTCTCCAACTTTCACTGTCCTTCCTTCCTTCCTTCCTTCCTTCCTTCCTTCCTTCCTTCCTTCCTTCTTTCCTTCCTTCCTTCCTTCCTTCCTTTTTTAATTGGAGTGCTCTGTCATTTGCCAGGCACACCTGGGTCTTCCAAGAAGCATAACTTCTGGTGACACCAAAGGAAGAGGCTGCAAGGGCTTCTCTGTCTCTCTGTCAGTACTGGAACTGAGAGCATTAGCTGTAGCTGTTGGTGCTGTGTGGGTGCCCTAGTGAAGCAACACACACACACACACACACACACACACACACACACGCACGCGCGCACACACACACACACACGAGTGGGGTGGGGGAGAGGCTACTTCTGCAGAAAGCCGAATTCCTCACCCATCCAAAAGACCTGGTACTCTTGCTGGCTACAGTTTACTAGTGATTCCATGCAATTGTTTTAAGGCAGCTGTCTGTTGAACAAGCCCTTCCCCCATTCCCGGGAAGGAACTGGGAATTATGTAAGTCATTTAGATAAGCTGTGTATGGCAAGGCTGATCTTTTTTTTTCCCCCAAACAAGTGAGGGAATTTGAAGGAAAAAAAACACTGCAGTTTACACCCAGAGAGTTTGTATCTTGTGCTAGAAACAGCATGGTAAACAGCAAGGAGGCAAAGGCCAGCATTCCTACAACAAAGAAAGCAAAGGAAATGTCCTGGAAGGGTGGGACAGAAGATTAATTTGCCAACTGCTAACATCTGTAATTCTCTGGATGTACATGGCATTTGTTCTGAGATCCAGCCTTTAATTCTTGCAGTGCTTGGAGTTGTAAGACATGCCATGGACGAGGAAATGCCAGCTTGTGTTCTTTTGCAATGAGAAGCAAACTCTCTCAGCAATGGCAAGATCCTGACCATCATTCTTTCTCAGAGTTATACCAAGGAACACAAAAACATACCTGTGTCTAACCCAAAACTGCTTCCCACAACAGGAGTCCTGCTCCCAAACTTAACAAAAGAAGTGAAATTTGCATTGTCTGTATAGATAAGTGAGCATCTACTTAGTGGGAAGGTGTTCCTCGTTGGGCCAGTCTATCAAATGCAATCTCACAGGTATCAGAATAGAGTTGCAGTATGTTGACTTAAACTCATCTGTAAGAGATCCATCTTTACACCCATGAATTGAAATGACATATCACTTTTGTGAATTCCTAGAGCTGCCAAAATAGGCCTCATATGTAAATTTCTCTTTTCTTCCTCTCCACTATGAACAAGTTGCCCTCTCCCTGGATCACTGCAAAAACCTCCTAATGAGTCAGTCTCCTTACCTCTCTTTCCCTTCTTAGATGTGGTGCAAGCAGCAGAGAGACTAAGATGTCTTTCACTTTTGCATTTGTTTGTTTAGTGATGGGGTGTGTGTCTGCATGCTATGACAGGCATGTCACCAGATGACTACTTGCAGGAGGCAGTTCTCTCCTTCTGCCTTGAGTGTAATGGGGATCAAACTTAAGTCATTAGACCTGGTAGCAAATGCCTTTTCCATTGATCTATCTTACTGGACCCTAGAGAAATAATTTTAAAGCAAAAACACATGCCTTGATGTATTTTACCAAAGGTTCCTCATGTCTAAGGGTATAAGGCAAAGACTACCGCATAAAAGCCTGCACTGGCAGCCTCTTCTCATTCAGGCTTCCCAGTGAGCTAGCTCCTTTTGTCCACCTACATTCCTCCTTCCTCTTCTTGGTGCACCGAGGATGCCTGAGATGCCCACATGGCTTCCTAATTCAGCACGCCTGGATCTTTGCAGTCTTGTTGGGTACCCGGCTGCCTTAGCTCACCAGCCAGGATCAAGCTGCAATTCCCAACAATTCCAGGTCCCTTTCAAGGCTACCACACAGGACCTTTTTTTACTAATTTGGTTTTGTTTTTTCTTGTTTTTCTCTGCCCATAAGACTAGAAACTCAATGAAAGGGACACTGCCCCCTCCACTGAAATGATACCTGACAATAACCAAGTGTCAAGCAAATACTTGTTGGATGAATGAATGATGCTTCAGAAAACAGTTCTTTGTTTTTAATATACAAGATATACTGTTTTCCCCTAGGTGCCTGAACTAAAAGAATAGCCATTCCAATTCGTATTTATTTTGCATATAATCATAGATTGTGCCATTAAAGTTAGCAGAGACTTACATAAAACATTATTCCCACTGTGTACCTATTCTAGTGGTCAAGATACTTTTATTCTAAATCAAATATTTTCAAGGTATTATGAATTTTTCACAGTGGCAACATTATATTGAAATTAATGGAGGATGATAAGACTTAGCAATTAAAATGGATTTGGATGAGGAGAAGAATTTAAATTGCAGTTGAGATATAACACACAACCCATGGAATGACTGGGGTGAAGATTCAGAAGTACAGTTGTAGGCTGGGGTAGCTCAGTTTCCTTAGAACATAACATTCACACTGGGGCTATTTAAAAGTGGAAGGCATAGCCTAGAGCATCTTTAAGTTCTGGGGTGAGGCATGGCAATGGTCCACATTTCCTGTGCCTCACACAGGAATCCACGTCTACCCGGTGGAGCTCAGTGATAGGACCCCAAGAGACGCCACAGGTAATGAGAATCTACTTTGCTACTTTATTCAACTAGTAGCCCCAAGAGGACATATGGCACTGTTTGTCTGACTTACTTAAGAAAGGTAGAGCTTTCTGAAACTGTAAAGTCACTGCCCACACCTTCAATGCTGCTTTCCCTTCGTACATGACATTAATTGATAACACTCTCCTTGGCTTTGGAATTCTTGAAGGGAAAACAAAGTGTGATTATCCCAGAAGTCATTTTAGATGGGAGTGTAGAAGAGAGAGTTGGAGTCTAATAAGGCCCACACCTGAAGTCTGCCCTAGTTAGGATTTCTACTTCTGTTGTAAAATATCATGACCAAAGCAGGTTGTAGAGAAAAGAGTTTATTTGGCTTATGCTTCCAAATCACTGTTCGTTACTGAAAGACATCAGGATAGGAACTCAAGAAGGGCAGGAAGCTGGAGACAGGAGAGGATGCAGAGGCCATGGAAGGGTACTGCTTACTGGCTTGCTCTCTGTGACTAGCTCAACCTGCTTTCTTATAGAACCCAGGATCACTAGCCAAAATGGGTTGGGTCCTCTTACATCAATCTCTAATTAAGTAAGTGCTCTATGGACTGACTATGGTTCAATCTTATGGAGGTGTTTTCTCAATTGAAATTCCCTCTATTCACATAACTCTAGCTTGTTGTCAAGTTGACATAAAACCAGCCAACACAAAGTCATTCCATCACCATCCTTTAAAGCTATAGTCCGATTTTATGATGGCAACCCTTAGTTTTATCCTCCAGTCTTATCCAGCTAAATTGTGATTTCACAATAGAAAAGGCCTCATGTTCTAGAAAGCAAAATTGCAAAAAAAAAAAAAGGTTTATTAGAGGTGTCGCTTAAAAAGCAAGTGCATTTCTGCACATTAAATTTCTCATTTTCTTTCCAATAGAAGTAAATCCACACAATTTCCTTCATTGTTCTCAGACAAACAGAGAATGCAGCCTCTTAACAGGGGCACAATAGCTAGTTGATTAGCATGAGAGGTCCTTTCCCATGGATTTCCTTAGCAATGGGGGATAGGTGATCAGAGGTCTCTCTTTTCTTTCTATGTAGGAGCCTCTGATCTCTGAGATCACTGTAATTTACCTTGTCAGTAAGAGAAGTGTGTTTATACTACACCATGGGGTGAAAATTTAAGATTACAACTGAAATCACACTCCTGATCAGGACTCTGACATAGCTGGGCGAAGAGAGAGGATGGGTAGTCCCTTAGATAAAATGTTAGAAATTCTTTGAAATTTTCTGATGCGATAATCAAATTCATGGTGTCTTAGAGTTAGAATCTCCACACATTGAAAGACCTTCAAGTGGCCCCCCATGAGGTAGGTGGTCAGCACTTACATGTATGAAGCACTTGCGTCTTTGACAAGTGGTTTCTTCCGTTTAATGTAGATTTTGTTCCTCATGGTGAAATCTTTGTTTTTCCTTACATAATGCACATCCTTTTGTCTTATTTCTAATTTCATTAGACATACCACTAAACTCATTTCCATATGCCCTATATTCATTAAAACACGAGAAGTCTGCTCTATAGTACAAATAATTTCCTGCCGTAAACATCATATGGTTTTTCAAAAGCTGTCCCTCGCATGACACCGTACCTTGAAGCTCCATTGTGTAGGTCATGCCCTTGTGAACACTTTTGTTAAACGACATCCGGCTTTCAAAGTGCACTGTATGGTTAGCTGTTCCCATGGTGTCATGTCTGCATCACACATCCTTCCGCATTGTTTTTGCTTTGTTACTTGTTTCTGTCTGTACATTATGCTGTTTCTTGTAATGCACATTTTTGCTGTGTCTGAGAATCTGCCGTAGGCATCATTTGTCTAACTAACACTTAGGAGGCATGAGGTTTACAAACACTGTACTGAAGGGTACTCTACTGAATGTCAACATGTAAGCGAGTCCAGTTACAGACATTTCTGGGGGTCTGAGGATGTGGTGAAGTTGTTAGAATGCTTGCCTAGCATGTTTGAATCCCCTGGTTCAATCTTCAGCTCTGCCGTAAACTCAAACTTGCCTGGAATCCCATCACTAGGAGATAGACACAGAAATATCAGAAACTTAAGATCATCCTTAGCTAAAAAGTGAGTTCAAGGCCAACCTGGGTTACATGAGAGAGACCCTGTCTCAAAAACATTATAGCTGACCTTAAACTTTTTAAACATTTTTGCACTGCAGCTGGGCAGTGGTGGTGTATGCCTTTAATCCCAGCACTATAGAGTCAGAGGCAGGTGGATCTCTGTGAGTTTGAAGCCAACCTGGTCTACAAAGTGAGTTTCAGGACAGCCAGGGTTGTTACACAAAGAAACCTTGCCTTGAAAAAAACTTTGCACTGCTTGTGAGATTTTTTTAAAGATTAATAATTTTATTAAAAATTATGATTTGTTTTGTTTTTTACTTCTGTGCCTTCATTTTAGAATTCTGTGAGACAAAATTCATTTTCACTGCCCTAATAAACTTAGTAACAGAACTGACCTCTTTTGTTGACAGAGTGTTCAGTTCAAGGGAATGAAGAATTGAGAATCATTTTGGTGAATGGATTCCAATATATGGAATAAGAATAAGCTGAAGATTTGACCTGTTTTGAAGAAACATACAGTCCATTTGTCTAATAGATAACGACAAAACCTAAACAATGAATTCAACATTGTTCTCCCACGTTGAAAACCACTCATTTCACTATAACAGCTCAGAGAATTCTCCACTGCTGGCTTTTGAAAATGATGATTGCCACCTGCCCTTGGCCGTGATATTTACTTTGGCGCTTGCTTATGGAGCTGTGATTATTCTTGGGGTTTCTGGAAACCTGGCATTGATCATAATCATCCTGAAACAGAAAGAGATGAGAAACGTCACCAACATCCTGATCGTGAACCTTTCCTTCTCAGACTTGCTGGTCGCCATCATGTGTCTTCCCTTCACGTTTGTGTATACACTGATGGACCACTGGGTCTTCGGTGAGGCCATGTGCAAACTGAATCCCTTCGTACAATGCGTCTCCATCACGGTATCCATTTTCTCTTTGGTTCTCATTGCTGTAGAGCGGCATCAGCTAATCATCAACCCACGAGGGTGGAGGCCAAGTAACAGACATGCTTACATAGGCATTGGTGTCATTTGGGTCCTTGCTGTGGCTTCTTCTCTGCCCTTTCTGATCTATCAGGTTCTGACTGATGAGCCCTTCCAAAATGTAACGCTTGCTGCCTTCAAGGACAAGTATGTGTGCTTTGACAAATTCCCATCAGACTCTCACAGGCTGTCTTACACAACCCTCCTTCTGGTGCTGCAGTATTTTGGCCCACTCTGCTTCATATTCATATGTTACTTCAAGGTAAGAAAACCACTCATCCCTCCCCCCGCAGTTTCCTTCCTTACCTTCTCTGTGTAGATTTCCCCCATGAGATGGATGTTCTGCTTGACTCACCCTTTCTTCCTCTGTAGATATATATTCGCTTGAAAAGGAGGAACAGCATGATGGACAAGATGAGAGACAGCAAGTACAGGTCCAGCGAGACCAAGCGAATCAACGTCATGCTGCTCTCCATCGTGGTGGCCTTTGCGGTCTGCTGGCTGCCCCTTACCATCTTCAACACTGTGTTCGACTGGAATCACCAGATCATTGCCACCTGCAACCACAATCTGCTGTTCCTGCTCTGCCACCTCACAGCGATGATCTCCACCTGTGTCAACCCTATCTTTTACGGATTCCTGAACAAAAATTTCCAGAGAGACCTGCAGTTCTTCTTCAACTTCTGTGATTTCCGGTCTCGAGATGATGACTATGAGACCATAGCCATGTCTACCATGCATACAGATGTGTCTAAGACCTCTCTGAAGCAGGCAAGCCCAGTTGCGTTTAAGAAAATCAACATGGATGACAATGAAAAAATCTGATGCTGCTCAGAACGTATGGTCCCAGACTACATGTGTAGAGAAGCAAGCATGACCTGCCACACACTTTCATTACCTGTGCCCCCAGGGAATGGAGCGAAATGGCTTCGGAAAGTCCAGGCGTTCTCTGCTGAACTTGACTGTGGTGGATACCATGATTACTTGGGATCAGCAGAAGTGGACTTTGTCATCTTCTGGCAACAGTTTTCATTAGACTTCGTGTGTGTGTGTGTGTGTGTGTGTGTGTGTGTGTGTGTGTGTGTGTGTGTTTGTGTCTGTGTGTCTGTGTGCATGTGTGTGAAATTATATATATGACACAAAGATTCTTATATTGTATTTATTGGAGAGAATGTCTCTGAAATATTAACATGAGTTCAATTCAAAAGTTGTAGCCACCTGATATGCTCAAGATTTGGGGCCTTCAAGATAAGATGAGAATCCCAAGACCTCGGACTACCTTCATTCCATGCTAGGCACCATTTTCGTCTGTTACAAAAGTACAGTATACAAAAGTCACCTTTCAGAATGTGCCAGAGCCAAAAGAGAGTCTGAAGTCACTCAGCAGCCTTTCTCTCTCTCACTCCTTCTCTCTTTGAGAGGACTGGATTTTTCACTCCTAATTGAGCATCACTTAAGATGAAGATATGTAAAGAGCATGTTTTCAGCTGTGACTATCACTGGGAATTAGGCAACCCACAAGAATGAAGTGGCAAAGCAGTTCCCTGATTTCAAAACTTTTCTGACAACCAAAGCATTTCAGGGTAATTGGTTTAATAAGTAAATTAGTCTTGCTGCAGATAGCTAAATTGTATCCATGGGACTTGATAGCTGAGAGGTTTTTACATCGTTCACAAGAGGGTTCAGCACTAGCAAGATTTTGGGCACAGACATGTGACTCTGAAAGCATTTCCAGCTCACACGGCATAGAAATATAAGACGCTTTTTCCATACAGCAGTGCCTACACAGTAACTAGTATTAACTCTCACCGTTTATCTTTCATGGCAGAAGACACACGGACAATGTTAAAGGACGCTCACCTCAGCTAGCAGATATCTATCTGTACCTAAAACTTTCACACAGCCCGCCCATCCTAGCTTGTATAAACTGTGTGACATGCAGAATTTTATAGTCATATACTATTATATTATAGAGTACTGAGTAACCACGTCCTATTAACATATTTACTTTCATATATCTTGTAATCATGATTTAGCCTCAGAAAAGATATTTTGAAGAACAAGACAGTTTCAATGTATTATACAAATGTTGAGTGTGTTTGATTTTAGAAGGGCAAACACTTTGTGTATTAAAATTGTTTGGGCTTTTTCAGAGGAGTCTGTATTGTGTTTCTTTTGAGATACCATATCTTCCTGTCCCACGACTTCCCTTCCAGGATATGGTATCTCCACTGTACGCAGTATAAATTTACTGGTGAGATTGTCTATTCTGTAACCACTGATGGCTGATTCACTTTACCTTTCTAGATCTGAAAGATACCTAAAGGCAGGTACTATATAATAATGATGACCCACAGTACATTTAGTACAGTGACAAGTAATTAGGATGCTATCAAATGTGTTTCAGGGACTGACGAGATAACTCAGTAGGTAAAGAAGTCACTGCACAAGTATGTTGCCTGGAGAAGGACCCCTTGTCCCATGTATGTAAATGTTGGTTGGGTATAATCCCAATGCTCTAGGAAGGAGGAAACCAAGAATCTTTGAAGCCAGCTGCACAGACCTAGCCAGCTCTGGGTTCAGTAAAGTGAAAAACAACACTCAACATCAGCCTCTGTCCTACACATACATAAACATGCATGCATACATCTATATCCAGCCTAAAATAGAATCCACATGCTCATGAGCACACATATGCACACACATACACACACACACACACACACACAAATCCAAGTATCTACATACATGTACATATTGTTATATAATTTCTAAAACAAGTTAATGAATACAGGCAAAATTTCTCCCTTCCCATTGTGTCATGTGGGATTCATATCTTGGTGTTTTCTTGAGTTCTCGTCCTCACATCCCTCTTAATCAGGCAACACTTTCTCTTCTGTTGTATTAATTTTCACCCCTAAATGAAACAATAATGACCTTTTAGATGTTAGGATCTGTAACTAGCTTCTTATGGTAGTTATTAGTATGAAGCCACATGACCACCTAAGGTTGTCCTTTAACTGTCCAGATAAGAGAGATAATCTAAAACTGCCTCTTCTTGTTCTTGTTCCCCCCCTCCTTCTCCTCTCCTTCTTCCTCCTCCTCCTCCTTTTTCTTCCTTTGGCCTTTTGAGACAGGGTCTCTTGTATAGCTTTGGCTGTCCTGAAAGTAGCTATGTAGACCAGGCTAGCCTCAAATTCAGACATCTGCCTGCCTCTGCCTCCCAAGTGCTAGCATTAAGGGCATGTACAAACACCCCCCAATGTAGAAATAATTTTAAAGATGCATTGAAAAATGCCACCTCTTAAAGATCTCAGACCAGGGGTTCTTACTATTTGACATTTTCTTGCACCCAGAATCTAAGGGGAACTTTCTCTATGTAGATGCTTTAGAGACCAAGTGTTACTGGGCAGCATTCTTAGGTGACCATTTCTAGGATACTTAAAAGATGACAAATCACTTAACTGCATGTATGTAAGCAACTGAATATCGAATTCTTCTATTTCACCCACATAGGTGGGTGAGCTAACAGTTGAGTCTAGAGCCAGCACCAATGTGCTAGAGTTGAGGTCGGAATAAATGGCCACATTAAAGGCAAACTATGGAAAGAGATTTTAGACCTCGAATACAGCAAGAACTATGTCAAACGTGGAAGTTCTGACTAACATTGTTGCCATTCCACACAAGAGGAAACTAAAGCTCAACAAGAAGTACACATGAGCCGGGCGGTGGTGGCGCACGCCTTTAATCCCAGCACTCGGGAGGCAGAGGCAGGCGGATCTCTGTGAGTTCGAGGCCAGGCTGGACTGACAGCCTCCAAAACAATACAGAGAAACCCTGTCTCATAAAAAATCAAAAAAAAAAAAAAAAGAAGAAGTACATATGACTCAGGAATTCAATCCAAATAGGACTCACACTACTAAGCTAATTACAGACCTGTAATTGTAATTCCATAGGAAAATTTTGAAGGATTGTAGCATAGCTCTGTTGGTGAAGTGCTTGCCTGGCATGCAGGATACCCTGGGCTCAATCTCTAGCACCACATAAGCTGAGTATGGTGGTACAGGCCTATAATCACAACACTCAGGAGGACACAAGGGGGATCAGAAGTTCAAGGTCATCCCCAGCTTCTTAGTGAGTTTGAGGGCAGGCTTGCCTTTGTTAGACCCTTCTTAAAATAAAATATTTTTTTTATCTTCCTGAAGTTTATATTACCTACAAATAGCAATACTGATGATCCCAAAAATTTCAGAAAAGAATGGAATGAAGTAGACGAGTGGAGAGGTGGCCATGAGGGCTCTATGTTATCCCCTTCAGAGTTTGAGAAATCTACTTTAGAATGTTCTTAAATTACATATATTTGGTTTTTCAAGACAGGGTTTCTCTGTATTGTTTGGAAGCTGTCCTGGAACTCTGTAGACCAGGCTGGCCTCAAACTCACAGATACCCTCCTGTCTCTACCTCCCGAGTGCTGGGATTAAAGGCGTGTGCCACCAATGCCCGGCTTAAATTATATATTTTTACTTCATTTCCTTACTGTTGATTGGATATTCTCACCTACTATTTGATCTTACATACCCTTAGTGAAATATGACAACATATTGTACTCTAATTCCAACTAGATACATTGATGATAAAAATACATGTTCTCTGTGACATAGGGGAAATACTCATCTATTGCTGGTGGAGTACAAACTTATATAGACACTATGGAAATCAGTGTGGCAGTTTCTTATGAATATGGGAATCAATCTACTTCAAGATCAGCTATGCCATTCTTGGGCATATACCCAAAGGATGCTTCATCCTACAACAGAGGCACTTGCTCAACCATGTTCACTGTTGCTCTATTCATAAAAACCAGAAATTGGAAACAACATAGTTATCTCTCAACAGAACCTTTATACATAAAACATACCTTTACACAATGAAATTATTACTAAGCCATTAAAAAGTGACATTGTGAAATTTGCAGACAAATGGATGGAACTAGAAAAATTATCCTGAGTGAAGTGACCTAGAACCAGGAAAACAAGTATGGTATGTTTTGCTTATATGGGGATATTAGCTGTGAAACTAAACTACAATCCATAGAACCATGGAGGATGGGTATAGAGCAAGTGACTAGAGGAAGCAGATAGACCTATTAAGGAAGGAAAATAGAATAGATATGGATAGAATGAGAGCATCACGTGAGTTGAAGGGAGAGTTGGGTGAGGGAAGGAATGCAAGGAGAGACAACTAAAATTAATGGACATTTGAGAGGTGATACAGAAACCTAGTATAGTAGAAACTTCCTAAAATATATACACATATAAAAGGAATCTAAATGAAATTGCCAAATAATAGGTGAGGCAGAGTTCAAACTGATGATCTCTTGTCAGCAAAGGAAGCTTCTAGTACTGGGATAGGGTTGTATCTAATTGAGTTGTTGGATAAAGGAGTCCCATGGAACATCTAACAACCCAGTCTATTGCCAAGATAAATAGGCTGCTCTCTAAAAACTGACATCAAAGACAAAACCTATACAACTCACTGAACATAGACAAGTTGAACTGGTGTCTACAAAGAGCCTTCACCCTTATGTTCTGTCAGGTACAGGAAGGTATTTTTCATGATACCAAAAGAGAAACACAAACGCCAACCCACCCACAAGCCTTTTGGTCTGTGATGGTGTTCTGCCTGCAAGATATGCTAGGGAAAAGGTAGCACAAATCTTATGGGAGTAAACAACAAATGTTGATTTGACGTAAGGCCCACTTCTTAAGATGGAACCTGTTAGGGTTTCTATTTCTGTGAAGAGACACTGTGACCATGGCAACTCTTGTGCAGGAAAAACATTTAATGGGGTCGCTTACAGTTTCAGAGGTTTAGTCCATTATCATCATGGTGGGGCATGGTAGTGTGTAGGCAGATATGGTGCTGGAGAAGGAGCTGAGAATTCTACATGCTAGATCCACAGACAAAAGGAAGTAGTCTGAGACACTGGGTGTGACTTGAGCATATATGATAACTCACAGTCTGCCTCCACAATGACCCACTTCCTTTAACAAGGCCATACCTCAGCCAATAAAATTACACTTCTCAATAGTGCAATTCTGTTTGAGCATATGGGGAACAATTATTTTCAAACACCACGGAACCCATATCTGGCACCTCTTGGGTGACCAAGAACCAGAAACTAGATAGTTCAGGGACCTAGGGCAAAAACCCAAACCAAATGCTACTCATATATAAACAAACATACAAACACACAACATAGTGGCAAAATGACTCCTAATGGCATTCTGCTATACCCATAGATCAGTGCCTTGCTTAGCCATCATCAGAAAAGCTTCCTCCCACAGCAGATGGGAACAAATACAGGGGTACACAGCCAGACATTATGCAGAAAGTCAAAGACCTTGGAAAATTCATCCCTAAAAGGGATGTTTTTAACAAATCCATCCCTTCTGGGATTAGGAAACTCTGTGGAAGAGGCAGAAAGAATATAAGAGCTGAAGGTGATAGAGGACACCAAGAAAACAAGGCCTTCTAAATCAACATGGTCAAAGGCTATATGAACTTGGAGAGACTGAGGCAATGAGCACAGGGCCTGCACAGGTCTGCATCAGGCCCTCTGTATATATATTATAGCTTACAGTTTAGTATTTTTATGGGATTCCTGCATGTGGGAATTAGTGGATCTCTGATTCTTTGGCCTTCTCTTGAGCCCTTTTCTTCTGTTTGTTTGTGTTGTCTAACTCTATTGCACTAGTTTTTATTTTATTTTATTTTGTTTTATTATGTTCGGTTGCTATCTCTTAGAGGCCTGTTCTTTTCTAATGAGATGCAGAAGGGAATTGGATCTGGATGGGATGGGAGGTAGGGAGGCACTGGGAGGAGTAGAGGGAGGGGAAATTATAATCAGGACATATTACATGAGAAAATAATCTATTTTCAGTTAAAGAAAAAAGGAGAAAAGAAAAAACAATCCTTCACATGGTAAATATGGTCAGCAGATGACTCAGCTGAGGTTCTGAGGACATGTTCTCTCCCAACATTGCTGCAACTCTGTGTGGTCATGGGCATCCTGCAGGCTTCTCTTTAGTGCTAGGGTAGTTTTTGTTCAGTAATCAAGGAGTCTCTATAATTAAGGTAGATTTTCAATGT